CTAAAGCACCACTGTTCTTGTTCCACCACAATCTGAAATATTAACCTTTAAGTGCCGAAGTGCCCCGTTTGTGCCAGTCATGAGTAAGGTCATTGTGGCCAAAGTACCCTGTTTTGGCCAGTCAGGCATTTAAACTGTGCTAGTGGAAGCGCGCGCACACGCCGCTAGTAGAAGCGCATGCACAGTCCTAAATATTAATTTTTAATGTAGTAATTACCAGACAGACTTGAGTAAAACCCTAATAGAGGAATTAAAATAATATCTAACTGAACGACAGCAAGTAAAAATATACGTATGAGTTATGCTAAAACTTATCCATGATCCAGTAATTTTATTGCAGATTCGGCAGAAAGGTATGTAAAATTCGATGTACATACCTTTTTTGTTTTTACCTGCTTGATGTATATATAGGTTCAAATGAAACCACAGTATAAGATTTCACTACGAACGCACACAAAGCAGATCGCACTCTGAATCTCAGCCACGATGCAGCTGTCTGTTCATTCAAATAGAAGGGGCAATAAGCTTTTGCAGCTCTAACGGAAGGCCTTAGCACTGAAGAAGGGACCCCTCTAGCTTTCTCTTGAATAGCCATTCTTTCATTCTTCTGACCTTCAGTCAAAGATTCAAAAATCCGAAGGGTGTAAGCAGTGCTAGCAGAAGACCAAATGATTTTATTGCTTCCATCTGTTTTATGACACCAGGGACTGCTAAAATTTGTCAAGTGTTACAAACAGAAATGAATTTATAATGCAGAACAACTCTGTGAAGAACTGGGAAACCATTTTTGCAGTACGCATCAAAATTAAAACACAAAAAATTGAAAATAGAGTATAACACTTTGTATTAAAAATTTCAAACCTTCCATTATAATATGTGACACTGTGTTCCTTTCTGATATAAACAAAGTTATTTCCATCCATTTATCATAAAAATTGAGCTAGATACAGCATTTTTAAACACAACGCTTAAAATTGATTAAGCGCCTAACAGGGACGGACATTTAAACGCAGAGTAGCAACGGGCATTTAAATAAACTCCGGCCAGCTCAAGCTTACCACTATTTCGAAGTCTGGCGTTTAAAGGTTAACCTTCAACTGCTCTCCCAGTTGCTTCTCAAGCATGTTGCTGATATGACCATCTTCAGGTGCTGGAGGTGGCCAGATTTCATCTGTTGGTGGTACAATGTAGTTTTTACCTGCATACAGCAGTGATGACGTGATATCCTCTGGTTTTTCTTCTATACGAGAATACTTGATTGGTGGCTCATAATCATGGTCACCCACCAGTGGATTGTTGAACTGCAGAAGTTGAGCCATATCAGATATGAACTTGACTGCATCATCTTGATCAGAACTGCTGAAAGTTTCATCTTCTGAGACTCTAGACTAAGGGAATTCTAGCAAGTTTCTTGAATGACCTATGAACAAAAAGTGACATGTTTTAAAGTCACCCTGATGAACAATACTAAATACCAACTGATAAAGCTGTGATTAATCTTTAAGTATCACATTCAGAGAACGGGGATTTTTAAACTCATTAATACTGAAGAAATACAACACTTGGTCAAGTAGACTTTGCACATGTCATCACAATAATGCAATGTATGGCCAGCAAAATCGTATTTCACAGGATTACTATTACTGGGTTTTTGGACTTCGTCCATTGTCTGGTATTCTAAAAAAACACAAAAGAACAACATTTCCGAAACTGAGTGTTTCCATCCTCAGATTCCAAAACAGTGTGTTCTTTTGTGTTTTTTGTGGAATACCAGATGGACAAAGCCCCAAAACCCACAGATCCTGAGAGTTATACACCATCACAGAATCCCTTAGTATCTACATGTAATCATATTTTTTATCATTTTCATAAGCTTTACTTTACTACAACTTGTGTTTATCATCTCTTTGGTCAGCACCATAAGATCTGCACTTACTTAATTACTTACTCATTTACTTACTCATGGAACTGAACCCTTCTGGAGGAGCTGCCAATTCTACAGCTACTCAAGAATTTCCCAGTATTTTATGGAACCCGAAGGTTCATTACTGTGTTCACAAGAGCCCTCCACTGGTCCCTACCCTGAGCCAGATCTACCCAATCCATACCACCCCATCCTATCTCTCTAAGATCCATTGTAATATTGTCCACCCAGCTACGCCTTGGTCTTCCCTGTGGTCTCTTTCCTTCTGGCTTTCCCACCAGTATCCTATACGCATTCCTCATCTCCCCCATTTGTGCTACATGACCTGCCCATCTCATTCTCCTTGACTTGATCATTCTAATTATACTTGGAGAAGAGTACAAGTTATGAAGCCAGGAAAGTAAACTAGTTAAAAAAAAGTTTATGCAAGTATCTCTGATGGAAACAGAATTTTCTTTCAAGTTTACCCACCATCAGCTTTCCTAAACACAAGTATTTTATATATGTTATAGTTAAAATATCCATTGCATTTCAGTAAGGGGGTGTTGAATTGATGTAAATGAAATGTTTTACAGGCACTGGTGAGAAACTTTCTCCCGATAAATAATGTTGCAACCTGATATCTTGTACTGCAGAGGTTCTTACTACGTTGTGTGTTTTCTGCTTTCGATCTGAGTTTGATATCATTTAACTCATGCCCCTCCAGATGGTTTTGAGCAGTGATATTAAACTCAGTTCAAAAACAGAAAACACAATGGAGTAAGAACCCCTTGTAGCTGTACCACTGACACCACCACCTTTATGTGTAATCAAGATTTCTTTTATAGTAACTAAGAATAGGATGTAGTAAGGAACATTCAAGGGTGACTTAGCCGGATTCTTGGTTTCAAGAGTAGGGCCTGCTTCACTGCTACAAAGACCAGGCAGGAAGCACCCCGCAGAGTTTTCCTGGAAATTCAGTTCAAAAGTTGACTGGCGGGATCCTTTGGTAAAGTTAAACTTGACAGGTTTTGAACCCTGTAAGTCAAAAGTGGAAGGCCAGCAACCCACGCTACTGGTATAATTTTTCAAGCAGCTGTCAAAAACGACGTTAGGACCTTAAGTTCCAAAGTCCCAAACTAAAGCTAGGTGATTGGAGCAGTGAGAATTATGGTTAACTCCCTAAATTCGAATTGTTCCAACCAGCCGAAATTAGGGTAGTAACTTGGAGGCGGAGTTGAAGCTGTGAAGATTTCTTGCTTCGAAGCAGAGTGAATCTGCGAAAGGAGTCTCTGAACAACTCTCCAAGTGTACAGTCGAAAAATTAGCGTCACTGGCAGTTTGGTTTAAAAGTCGAAGTTAAAACAGAATTATGTTTAAGTGTGTTACGGGAACAATCCCTGAATAACTCTGCAAAATTTAATGTGAATCTTACTTTGTCTTAAAAGTTTAAGCGAAAGTGTTACTCCTATGGGTTGTGCTAAAAAAAAGCAGTCACTAAATAACTAGCCAGGGTTCCTGTCGCCAATGTTGGAGCAATTTCAAGTTGGTTTAAGGGATTAAGGACAAGTGCTGTTACATGTACATCAAGATCTGCTTATTAAACAGTGTTGTGTAGTGCCTAGCTATAAACACTCTTATCTTTTGCGCTGACGCAAGGCCCATATGCACCCTGAGACAGAATCTCATCGCTCTAGTGCGAATGTAGTACCCATCACCTGTAGTTTCCAGTTCATCCCCCCTTTTTCCTGAATTGTAAGCCTTTATAGTAAGCTTACTGGCACCCAGCATTCAGATAACTCATATCCCACAAACAATTATCCACAACAACAACAAAAAGGGAAGCAGAACTGGATAAGAAGGACGCAGCAGCAACCTGCAAACTCGGAGTACCAACAGGTGAGAGGGAACGGCTAGAGGAGCAGCTGCAACCAGCAACCAAGGGGCCAAAAGGACAGTAAGAGAAGGAAGGTGGCACCAACGTGGACACGAAAGGTTATAGAGGGAAGGTGTAGCGCAACGGAGTGAGCGGTTATACTCTGCAGTACAAGATATCAGGTTGCAACATTATTTATCAGGAGAAAGTTTCCCACCAGTGCCTGTAAAATATGAACATTTCATTTATATCAATTATTATTTCTAGCTATCCGTGCGAACCAGTGATTTTTTGGGAGGGAGCAGTACACTAATGCTGGTGCTATGTTAGCATACTTTCTTACCGACAGGGCAGGTGGAATGATAGCATACTTTCTTATCGATCGAGCCCTCGGCACTGGCTGCAGCCAATCTGTATCAAGAGAGGGTGTTCGCTGGCCACTGCGGCAGCAGTGATCCTTCATGACGTCACGCTGACTATGTTGCCCGCCAATAGCATTGAGTTGCGACCGTTGTGACTGATTACAGCCGATTGCGACACCGTCATTAGCGGTCATTAGCATCGTTAGAAGAGTTAGGTTTCAGAATCGGAAGCGATCTGAAGCAGGGGGTGGAAACTGGAATAGGANGCTCCCTCCCAAAAAATTGCTGGTTCACACATATTAATAATTGATGTAAGTGAAATGTTCTTATTTTACAGGCACTGGTGAGAAACTTTCTCCCGATAAATAATGTTGCAACCTGATGTCTTGTACTGCAGAGGTTCTTACTCTGTTGTGTGTTTTCTGTTTTCGAACTGAGTTTAATATCACTTCGCTCAAAACCATGTGGAGGGAATGAGTTAAATGATATTAAACTCAGTTTGAAAACAGAAAACACACAACGGAGTAAGAACCTCTGCAGTACAAGATATCAGGTTGCAACATTATTTATCGGGAGAAAGTTTCTCACCAGTGCCTGTAAAATAAGAACATTTCACTTACATCAATTATTAATATGTGTGAACCAGCAATTTTTTGGGAGGGAGCAGTAAAAAAAATGCTGGTGGTATAATAGCATACTTTGTAACCGACAGGGCAGGTGGTATGATAGCATACCTTCTTACCGACCGAGCCCTCGGCACGGGCTGCAGCATCTTTTGTTAAGAGAATTGCAGCTGGCCACCGCGGCAGCAGTGATGCTTTATGACGTCACGCTGGCTGTGTTGCCCGCCAATAGCATTGAGTTGCCACCCCCTGATCTGAAGCATCTGAAGGTTATTTCGTGGGTGGAAGTCAAGTGCAGTTTGTTGTGTCTGGAACATTTTCTTCTTTTTGGTTTCGATAATTGCAAGTGGGCATTTGGAGAAGATGGAATCATTCAATTCGTGGATGGTGTTTCCAGTTGGGCTGCATGCTATGTTATCAGACAAACTTGTGGATATAGTTGGAGAACTACCGGAGGAAATCGGCATCATGATTATCAGGTAAAAAATATGTCGTTGTGATTCATATTTGTCTAGTTGGTGCTTTCGTATCTGAAATGGATGAATTTAAATTTTAGTTTCCGAATATACAGTCTCTTAGCTGAAACTGTATACATCACTGTAACGTATAAAATGTTTAACATCCAAAAGAAAGTAATTTAAATGGCATGCTAAAAGCAGGGTATCTTGTAGAGAAATTTAATATACTTCGGCCAGCAAACTTATAACTATTATTATGCTAGTTATCGTTTGTGGTGGAAAACGGAAATAATTATTTTCAACCTACAGTTAAAAGCTTAAATCATGATATGAAAGCATTCAAGCCTGTATTAAAAGATTAACTCCTAACTCCTGCTCTGTAGATAATTTTACCAATATTGGAAATGTTTAAGCTTTATGCATATCTGTATGTGAAATACATTTCTATTATTATGATCCGGGATAGTGACTAGCTACTGGGTGGACGAACGAGGGTTCGTGGGGTTAAGACTTTTCATTTTCCATGTCGTTCAGACCGGCATTGGGATCCACAAAACTTCCTATCCAATAGATACCGGGGCTCTTTCCCCTGGGATAAAGCGGTTGGGGCGTGAAGCTGGTCACTCACCTCCAACTAGTGCCAAGGGCAAGAAAACCACTCCCCCATATACCTTCATGGCGTAGTGTTACTTAGTAAATTACAGGGGCAACTTTGTTAACTTATCCTTAGGTTTAGCCCAAAGAATGATGTGAGGAATGCAAACTCAATTCAAACATTTCCCCCCTCTCAGTGTTTTAAGATCATTATTACAGTCGCAGTTTTCAACATTTGATTTGGCTCTGGTTTACTATTAAATTTTTATAGGCCATTTTGTTTCTTGAAATGTACAATTTGTTGGGACTGCTACAATTCTGTGCAATATAAAACAGTAAGCTGGTGTTGTGCTCCTTATTTTTTTTTATTAGCAGTAGCCATAGGGATTTAAAATTTAAATTTCTTAGCCCCTTGACCTATGAATCATAATGGCTTAGTCAGTAAAATGATATGGACTAGACTACCAGTCTTTGATTTCTGACACTAGGAGATTTATATTAATGTATCAAATGGCCCAGAGCCACACACAAACTCTTATTACCCAATTTAAATCTTGGGAGAGCAGGAGGTGCTAATTTCCAATTGTAAAAGCAGAAGAGGGCTACATTTATGTGAGATATGTGTGAAAAGACATAGTTTCCCAAATTTGAACTTTAAAATGTTTATGGCTTTGAATATTTCATCACTTTTTATTCTCCTAACACAAGAAATTGATGCTTGCCAATAATTTCTTTAATAGACACAAGACAGTGTTGTTAAAAGTGTAAAATCATATGAAGTATTTCTCCTTGTAATTCAGTGAATTTGCTTGAAACATTTTTCAATGCAGTTAATATTGAGACATCATTAACTTGAAGTTGGACTGTTAAGTGATGTGGCAATGCTGATTTAATAAATGGGGTATAAAGTTTCATTTAGAACTTAAGACCTTTTAATAGTAACTAATGTATCACATTAAATTACTTGAGTCAGTAAACATACCAGAATTTGTTAGCACAGTCTGCAGAGTTCAAATTCAGATCACCTGTTGTGAACCAAAATTAAATACATCAGTCAAGTACAGAGGAGCCACTAATATTAAATCTTATAACTTAGAATGTGGTTAATGCATAGACATAAAATGTAACACTGTTCCAAATTTAAATTTACCTTCAGTGACATCTGAAACCATCCTGAATACAAAGTTATGTTAACTTCTACTAATATAGTCTGAAATGGTAACCAATTTCAATATTTGATTGCAGGATGCTAGATTCCAGGACTCTTCTGTCTGCAGCTGTGGTCAGCAAAAAGTGGCGGGATTTATGTCATGCAGATTCACGTCTTCAGAAGAAAATTATGCAACAAATAATGTTCCAAGGAGTGGTGCAATACCTGAATCCACATAAAATCAGCATACAAAGGAGAGATCCAAATAACTACTGCCCATCATCTACTATGAATGGGCACCACAGGATGACTGTTGCACCTGTATCAAGTAAGTTTTCTATGCTGTCTTCGTTTGTTAAAATAAATGCAGTGTTTAGAACAGCATTACATAATTATGTGATAGTAATGTTTACAAAATATATTTGTGATACATTTAACCCTTGTATTATTTTCATTATTTAAATCATTATACAGCTTCGTTGAATGAAGCCGTCAGGTTGGCAGTGAAATGGTTAGCCTTTGTCGCCAGTATGTTGTGTTGTTTTCAATGCAAGACCATTATCCCTAGTTAAATCCAGCCACTAGTGCCATAGTAGTAAGATATTTAAATCCCCTGCTCTTGGACAGTAAAGGTTAATGCAACAATACATGTAATCTGCCTACTAAGTGATAAAAGAGACAGTATTGCTGTTCTTTCATGGGTACTTCATGGAACAGCCATACATGAAACAATTTTAATGCTAGCCCTCTTGGTCTGATTTCCATGATTAGTTGGATAGACCATTGCAATAACAGTGAGAAGAACAATTTTATTATTTTATGTCTATACTACTGATCTGATATCACCATTTCCAATATTGTAGGATCATCACTGTGGCTATTTGGATGTGTAAATAACCTTTTAGGTAGCAGCAATAAGCAATAAAAATATGTTCACTCTGTAACTTCTTTCAAATGGTAGCATATCAGCTGATCCTTGATTTTAAAAAATCCATTGTTACGTTGTTTTAGGAACACAATTAAACTAAAAGGAAATTTTTGCTACATGCATCATCATTTAACAATTTCCACATATAATTTTCATTTATATTTCAATATTTCAATCAATGATCCCATTAGCTTCCTTCGATAATGTTCAGTGCATTTTCTTTATGAAATAGTACAAAAATGGGACAGTCAGAAATACTTAGTTGTCAAGTTAATGTATCAATCCCTAGTTGCTACAGTGGTCAGTCCCCAAATACAAGTGTAGCAGTCCAACTTACATGTCGGGTAGATGCATTTTTAAACCAATCACTGCTATTTATATACTTGATTTTAAATTACATGTTTATTATACATAAAATAAGGGAAGACCAAAGCGTAGGTGGGTGGACAATATTAAAATGGATCTTAGAGAGAGAGGATGGGATGGTATGGATTGGATATATCTGGCTCATGATAGGGACCAGTGGAGGGCTGTTGTCAACACGGTGATGAACCTTCGGGTTCCATAAAATGCTGGGAACTTCTTGAATAGCTGCAGAATTGGCAGTACCTCCAGAAGGGCTCAGCTCCATGAGTAAGCAAGTAAGTTATACATAAAATAGTAAATCCTATTTCTTTCCGATAATTTTAGCCACTGAATTTAATAACTTTGTAACCTCTAACTTGTGGTCAAACATGTTAAAGCTTTGTCCCACATGACAGTTAAAAGCTGACTTTCAGTTGTGGGCATGGGAGTCATGCTAATTGGCATTATTAGCATGAATCAGCTTGTCAGCAAAGTCTCTCTCCCTCTTTCTGACCATACTACATTTCTTTTTGGCCAGCAGCCTCCATTACCATAAATGCCAACTTCCAAGTGGTACAAGATATTGGGGCTAGTGTCATACACTGTCATTACCATGATAATACAGGTCTATTAGTGAAAATGTGTTCTCATCGTGATCTTCAAAATGTTTCCAAATTCTGGTCTCTGTCTGACCATCATTCTCATGTATGTATATGAAACAGTTTTTATTAATCACTCTAGCGCTCATTGGCACCACAGGTCTTCCATTTTGCGTATCATAACTTGAACCTGAGAAATGGTAGTATGGAAAGAAGTCACCTTGTAGAGGTTGGTTCTAGCCCTGATCATGCTTGAAGGGTTGAAAATATTCATGAAGCTGTACATCTAATACACTAAATATTTGTGCAGAGAAATTGGCTAAAAATTGATCAAACTCCTTATCAGTCTTACTAGATCTAGTTTAAGGCATGTCGTTAGTATTATGTAGAATTCTATGGTATTATTACAGGTTAAACTCCACTGCCTCCCCAACCTCACATATGAACAGTGAGTATGGTGAATTGTTTATTCTTTATTATGCTAGTGGAGAATGCTGAAGGATCCTTCATCATAAATAAACTGTCTTTGCACCTGGAATGCAAGGGACATTGTACATAGCGGTATCTGGGCTTGTATTCTTCTCGTATTTATCAAGACTTTTTGACCATTCCTCTAATATTATTTTTGTTATATTTAGTTTCAAGTTCATTAATTCTGTCTTTGGTCTTCCCTTATTCTTTCTTTCTGAAAGTTTTAGTAGTTTCATATCATACATTATTTACCTGCATTTGACTTAATTCGGCAGTCCTTGAAATTGTGTGCATTTCATTGAACCTTGATTTATTCTGTTTTAATCTGTAGTAATCCAGACTGTGTTTGGCTGAAGTTTTCTAATACTTTTCCAATTCCTATTCATATCCCTATTATTGTCTGTATTCTTCAATGCTGTGTACCAGGTTTCCATTTTAATCTGTTACTGTTCTCTTGTTTAACTTGCATATTATTTAGCTTCTTAAGTTAAATTTCCCAAATCATAATTTGTGTCACCCATTTCCTTACTGAAAATCCCTTCATATTTTTCCAGTGCCAGTAGTACACCACTAGTATTACGGTCAGGCCCTCTAAAAGATGAGATAGCAATTGTAAACTGGAAAACCATCACTTATCTATTCAAAATATGATCAGAAAAAACAGTAAATTTTCCTGCTCACTTTAATCAGAAATTATTTCTTGGTTTCCATAGTTCTTCATATTTTTACTCCCTTGGGTGGCTAGAATTTTTTCTTTTTATTAATTATGTATTCCATTTCTCCATGTGTTACAATAGCAGAATTTTAAATGAAATTGGATTTATAAAACAAAAAAAAATCTTTTGTCTGCAAGTTTGCGTTATATGAAATATGGCCTATGTACTAAGATGAGATAACAAATTGCAGATACAGATCGCCCGAGGCTTCCTCGGATGTGGGCACCAACAGACTGGCAATTTACGGTTCCAGCTGCAGAACAACCAAATGAAACAACACAAAGAAAGGGTTTCAGCAAAGCTGGCAAATCATCATCCACAGCAAAAAGAGGTGGGTAATGCCATCATAATCTTTAATATTCTGTAGGACAGTGGAGTGGCTTGAACAAAATTCGGCATGTCCTGGTTGATATAGTGGTCATGCTGTAAACCCATATTTGACAAGAGTCTGCTTTGATACTTGGCTTTGCATGGTTTCTCACTATTCCAACTCATTTTTTCTGGGTTTTCTCTTGTGGTGATAGTGCTTTTAAATAACAATGACTTGCATTTCAAGACCACGTCTGCTCAGTGTCTAATGTCTGTCATAGCTTCTCAGCCAATTTTATACCATGCCATTGAACAACCAAAGACTCACTTGTGCAAGTATGGCATCACATATTTTTTTAATTATATTTTTAGTCTATAATATATAGAAGCATCATACATAACCAACGATCATAGTACCCAAGTGTAAGAAGACTTGTGAGCAAGATTATATGTTTTGTTGAGCAATGAGGCCTGTTTATTATTAATTTATTTGATCAATAATATACTTCAGCTTGAGAATTTTATATTAAAGGTAGAGTAAACTATTGTATACACTTTGAGACATTCCTTTTACTTTACATTAACAGTGGATTTTTCTTTTTCAGATGCACACAGAATCTCACCAGAATGGAAATGGAACCAAATCTTTTGACACTTGAAGAACAATATGACACTTGTACCTGCATAAGATAACTTATATTAAACTTATTTTTTAATGCAACTTGATTCTAATTAAACTTACTTTATAATGCAACTTGATTCTAATTAAACTTACTTTATAATGCAACTTGATTCTAATTCATTTGAAATTGTCCTGTTATCCTTTCCTACCAATCCATTCAAATTCTCTGAATTCTGTTGTCCTCTTATACCAGCCAATGAATGCTACATGATCATTACATTTGATATGTAACACCTTATTCAGTGGGTTTATTTAATTAAAATATGGGTAAGATGATACTGGGACAAAATTAATAACTTATCACTGGCCTATGTCAAAATGAAGTGGAATTTTAACAAATGATGGTATCGCCATTTAAAATGAAGACCATGATGTAATAAGGTAGTAGCAGTCCATATTCAAATCTTGGTCCACAGACTGGTCATCCTACAGGTTTTTATGTATTGCAGCAGCGAGATGATAATTACCAAAACCCTGCCATGTACTACTGTGCAGGATGAAAACATGATTTTTAGACAAATCTTAACATTTCTGCTGATACAGTGAAGTTCAATGTATCCCGGTCAAGGTCAGGCAGCTCCATTCACCGCTGCCCTGCTTTTTCTCTTTCATTTCATTTATTTCGTGTCCATGGATCATTATACATGATATAAGACATGTCATTCTTGTGTAGTTATAGTATAATAAGTTTCATGATGTTACTATTGGGGGGGGGGCTGCATGTGAAGCATGCAGTGCAACGTGGAATTTGGGTACCAACTCAGCATTTGCTCTGGGACCAAGGAAAACCACGGAAAACCTTGATCGAATTGGCCGGTCACAAGACCTCCCAGATACACTGGTGTCTGTTGTAGTACAGTAAATGCTGGGGCCTTATTTTACAATTAGCTATGAATGTTACAATTAATATGTTGCTGTACATTATCCATCATCTTTTCTGTTCTTAAAAAAAACCGCCTAATTTCTATTAAAAACACAACGTTTCGGGAACTGGAATCTGTCCCCATCAGATTCCAGTTCCCGAAACGTGTTTTTAATAGAAATTAGATGGTTTTTTTTAAGAACAGACAAGATGATGGATAATGTTAGTTGTAACAATTTACCATCATCACAAACTTTTAGATCTTATTAGCTATGAATGTGTTTCCCTTTGTCTTTCTGTCAATTCAGTACTATATATAAATAGGCCATCACCTGGAATTTGTGTGTGTATAAAAACTATAAATTGGAAACAACAAGATTACATATACCAAGGAATGGCTTAGACCTTGCAGCATAAAAGTCCTGATACAACATTTTGTTAGAAGTCTAGCAGAATGTGACTGATACAGAAAGACTGGATGACAGATGGAATGAAAAAAAAATGAGGCTTATAAAATGCTTTTGCTCGATTGTAAAACATGTCCAGCTGTTGATTAGGAAAGTGATAAAAGTTAAGCTCATACTAGTACCAATACCTATTATCTTTCCTGCTTACCCACACAAAATAATCTTATAAATTTTGAATTGTTTCATTTTGGTCCGTTACACTATCAATCACCAATTATCAATAGAACCTCCGTCGAGTGTAACAATATATATTCTTGTCACCATTTTCTCACATTTGCCTTACATGTTTCGGCTCACAAAGAGCCATCATCAGAGGCATCCACAACAAAAACATGGAAACACTTGCACTGCTCAACAATCACAATATACAGTTTTTTGTGGAAGATGTTACACGTATCGGAGCGTAAAACACAACAACATCCAGTACCCCGAGTGCGGGTATCCCATTTACATTTAAAATATCACCCATAAAGCGGGTCGTTAATGTTAAAATTAAAGTTAAAACCGTCCAGGTAAAATATTCAGGTTCCTCTTAGTGGATAGTCCCAATG